TATATACATTTTCTGTACACGCTTCTTCCTTTTCAGGGTCACTGGTGCCCATATCCAGCAGTCACAGTGCGAGGGGCGGGGTTACACCTGGGCAGGTCTCAGTCCATCACAGAGACAAACGAGACAAACAACCATTCACTCTCTCACTCACACCTAGGGACAATTTAGAGTTATCAATGAACCTAACAGTCATGTTTTTGGTCTGTGGGAGGAAGCCGGAGTACCCGGAGAGAACCCACGCATGCACGGAGAGAACATGCAAACCTTGTGGCCAAACACTGCATTTGTCCCTAAAGATTTTTCGCATTCCCATTGTAACCAGCCACTGAGATTGGCATGTTTTCAGCCTACGTCAGGAGGGACTGGTGATAGGCCTAACATATTGTGCCCAGTGAGGGCGTTGGAGACATACATTGCTGCTACTGCTCCTATAAGACACTCTGACCAGCTGTTCTTATGTTATGGAGGCCCTAGATTAGGCCATCCCCTTTCAAAACAGCGTCTCTCCCACTGGATTGTGGATGTCATCTGCCATGCCTACAGGGCAGGAGGCTGTACCCTGCCAGTCGGGGTGAAGGCACACTCAACCAGGAGCATTTCCACTTCCTGGGCAGCCTTGAAAGGGGTCCCACTGGAAAGAATATGTGCTGCGGCATCATGGTCTTCTTCAAGCACATTCACTAGATTTTATAATGTGAATGTAGCACCGCCCTCTGGTGGTCAGTAGGGATGAAATAGAAAAAAAGTTACGTATGTAACTACGGTTCTATGAATCCTGAATGACCGTCAGAGCTTCTGTCACTCAGAATCCTTGCATTTGCGAGAAGATTCTGTAGGAACAGAGCTTCGGATGACGTCAAGCTATATAGCCTCTGATTAGTCATCCGATTGGTCACAGGTGTGACTCTGTTGGTATTACAGCTCGAACGGCGCATGCGCGAAGGGAACATTCAGTGCTTTTAGCACCGCCCTCTGGCGGTCATTCAGAATTCATAGAACCGTAGTTACATACGTAACTTTCAGTTTATATTAAAGCTAAAGGCTCATGTTAAACTAAAGGTTCATTTAAATTTTAAATGAACCTTTAGTTTAACATGAACCTTTAGTTTAACATAAACCTTTAGTTTAAATTTTAAACTAAAGGTTTATGTTAAACTAAAGGTTCATGTTAAACTAAAGGTTCATGTTAAACTAAATGTTGTTGTGTTGTGTAAGGGGAAACGCTCTGCCACATCTTTTACCTTTACACAGATGTTCAGTGGGTTTGAAGCTTTCCAAGTCCAAGAAAATATTGCAGATAAACACAGTTTTCTTCTCAGTTGACCTGGTTCTGGAATGCTGTAAAAAGGTTCGTTGTGAGTTTTGTGATGTTTCTCAGATACGAACAAACATAAAACACAAATGGTCCAGACAGATGAACAGGACTGGAGTGACGGAAAGAAGCAGATTCTGTCAAACAGTTTGTGTTTATGTCAGTAGGTTTGTCTCTCTGAAGGCTATAAACTAGAATAATATTGTGAAGGTGTCTCTGCCCAACAGCTTTTCAAAATAAAACCCAGACAGGCTTTGTCTCCCTGTCAGGAAGAGATTTTTCTGAAAAGAGGAAGAAAAAACATGTTAGGCAGTTGTTACAACACTTCATGATTAGAAAGACATCTGCATTAACTACTCAGTTCACACTGACCTCAGTCATTATGTGTCACACACACATTATTTTTTTTACTTAACATGAAATTTGTTTCTTATTTCAACAGTAAACTTTAAATTTATGGTTAAATGCAACAAAATTAATTTAATAAAAATAAAGTTAATAAATTCCTGTCCCTGAGCTGTTGGTTTGAAGTCACTGAGTAATTTAGTTGGACAGCTCAGTACTAATGTCTGAAAATCAGCTGCATTAAAGTCACCATGAAACATAAACTGAATCTGACATAATGCAGCTCCTCACTGGAAACCCACCAGTGAGTAAAACTGCACACGTACCAACTAAAAGGACAATTAAAAACTAGTAGGATGTTAAAAAGCTGGCTGTGTGTTCAGGTGTGATGAAGGTTAGACTGAGGATTTCAGAATCGACCTTTAACAGGATTATAATCTGTCAGGTGCTCATGTCTGCGGCCACACAATGAGTCAGGCAGTGAGGACAAAGGATTTGTTGTGTTAATGACACAGAAAGTCACCTCTGGTCACACATCTCTCTAATGTTGTTAAATAAATCATTTAAAGTTCATTAATGAACCTGATGCTGCAGGAAAGCAAAGATTTGAACAGTTTCCTGCTGCACAACATTCAGCTCACTTAGTAACAACATAATAATAATCATAACAAAACAAGTTCATCTGGAGGATTACACAGCTGCTTTTACATTCATCTGAGGTCATAGTTTCATTTAGTTCACCCGCAGGTCAGACTGTGCAATGCTCAAAAAATACCCCCAAAAACTATAAATGGTACCACTTTACAATCAGGCTCACCTTGTAGATGGCTTTTAAATAGTTTATAGATATGTTATTGATTCATCTGTAAACACTATAAATTGTTAATAAATGTTTATTGTGGATTAATTAAGAACAGGAAAGAGACAAAACTGTCTTGCCAAATAGTGAGCCAAATCTCTTCGTGTACATATTACTAGGTTTTTAAGCACAGTTATGTATTGGAAACACATATTTAAAAATAATATTTTACTATGTTACTGAAATATACATATTAACAACTGTCAAAGGGAGCTTTATTGTAGGTACACTAATTATTAATGACTAATAAACTTGTATAAATGCCATAAAGAGCCTTATTGTAAAGTTAAAAACAGTACACTATGAGGCTCTTTTATGACATTATTAGTCATTAATATATTATATACTGTTTTACACTTTACAATAAGGCTCCCTTTGATTACTGTGGATATGTAAAATGTGGTAATACAGTACACTATTATATATAAAATATGTGTTTTCAATAAATTATTGTTCTCACAAGGTAGTAAACTAGTCTGAAATGTTTAATAAGCTCCTTTAGATGTGATGTATACATGAACAGATTTGGTTCACTATTTGGCAAAAAACCAGACAGTTTTGTCTCTTTCCCGTCCTTAATTAATGAATAACAAACACTTATTAACGACTTATAAAGTGTCTACAGATGAATTAATAACCGATCTATAAACTATTTATAAGTCATCTATAAGGGAAGCCTTATTGTAAAGAGGTACCCTTTTTTTAAACAAA